GTGTTCCTTCCTGTAATGTTGCGAGAGACTGAGAAAAGGGAGGGCCTTGTCAGGAACTGTGACTGTCAAACATTAACAGTTTGATCTGAGGTTGTCCTCTGTAGTACATTGTACCCACGGTGAACACATGCCCGTACACGCACTCTCACTCTGCCTCTTATCAGCGGTATGAGTACAGTGTTGTAATGAACAAATGTTTCAATAGTATCCAGTAAGAACAGATGTGTTGGAGATCACAGAGGTGTTGATTCAGCTCAGATCCTTTTTGTGGTGGTGTTTTTGGTGTTGTATTAGGATTTCATAGCCCACATACGTCAGACATTAACCGCAGCCGCTGTGTGTCTGTCTGTAGTTTTGCTTGTGCAGATATGTCACCTTCCTCTTCTCCTTCTGCCTTTGCATTGTTTTAACTACAGGGTGTCAGCGCAGTCCTGAGGCGGGACTACAGCTCATCAGTTCTCAGGGTTCCCACATTCCCTCTTCCCGGCATGGCCACTTTCGTCACTGCGAGCAAGCCAAACTTCAGGGTCACCAGCACACGGGACCCGGCCCCCCTCATCAGCTACCACACTGATGGCTGGACGCCGGCCTACAGCCAGAACTCTCTCGAGTCTGCGGCAGCCAGCCACACCCATGAGATGCGCGCAAGTGTCATTATGAAAACCTCTGATGTCACTTCCTCCTGACCTCTGACCCCAGATGAAGGAGTATCATCATCATCACCACCACCACCACCACCGCTTTCAGGGCATAGGAACGACAGAGATTGCTCCATCTCTCTCTATCAGGGCGACATGGAGAGAACCTTTGATTTTATTGTAGCTTCTGTCCGGGCCATGACTTCTCTCACTTTTCCTTTTAATCGGTGAGCTCGCTGACCGGTGTTAACTAAATTAGCCATGGTTTGACTTGCTCACTCTTTGGTGAGCACTTGAGCCCATTTGCAGACCATCTGTGTCCCGTGTCCATGAATTATATCTGGCCTTTCAGACACTGTAATCATCCACGTGTCACTGGTAGATCATTTCCTCTGCTGCTTTGTGCTGACACTTTAGCATACACTATGCCAAATAAAAGACCACTTTTATCTAATGAAAGTCAAATTAGCTTTAAATTGTAAAAATGTATTAATGTTTTTTTATTGCACAACCTGTAGATGAATATATTTTTTTAATCCGTCATCTCTGAGCCGGTGTTGCCTAGCTGTAGGTTTTAAACTGCGTCCTCATAAATCCACTGTTTTTATTTTGCTGCACCTAAAACCTTCAACTTTTATGTCAAACAGTCCTTAATAATTCATCACAGGAATTAGTTTTTGTATTTTATATACATTTTTCAAATCTCCTTCATAAAGCTGGCAGATTTAGCCACATGTAATGTAAGATGATTCATCATTAAGTATTGGTACCTGCTTTTTTTAAAATAGTGTGAGCTCAAGTGTTGGCATGAAACATGGCACTAAATGCTGGGACACATGGCTGGGACAAAGATTGTGTATTTGTTCGTAAGCAATGAACACAAGCTTTAATGAGAGCAAGCTGCAAAAACAATCACAGGTGAGTTGTTTTATCAAGATAAAGAATAAAGCCCTGATAGAGCCTGCAGTGGAAAGCAGGTGCGACCGTATCTGTCTGTCTGTCTGTCTGGAGACCTCAGGACAATATACCCGCCAACACACAGACAGATGAACAGACAGACAGAATGACAGACTCACTGACAGACAGACTGACAGACTGTGAACTATGTATTCGTGTCTTCTCCCTTCCTCTGCCTCCTGGTGTTAATAATGTACATAGCTCATATGTATGTATGCCTGCAAGCCGCTTCAGCACCTTACGGACAGCACTGGTGTGTGTGAGTGTGTGTGTGTGTGTGTGTGAGAGAGAGAGAGAGAAAGGGAGAGGGGGAAAGAAAAAGCCTTATTGAAGATGTGTGCCTTTTGATTCAAATGGCTGGATTCAAACTATCTGTGCTTTAGTCTGCTGGTGAGCCGTGCAGGTAGCTTTCAGGAAGTATATCCGGCCCGATGTGGATTGGGACAGCAGCGCAGCGCTTTAGTGGGGGGAGCGTGGGAGACGTGGGCTATGTTTTTATGCACAGAGTCTTGACCTGGTTAACTTGAGTCACCGTTGGGGAAGTGAGTGCGATCTGCAGTTGATTCTGTGCAGTTGAAGTGCACATCCTGGCAGTGATAACACGGAGCGGGGAAGTGTGGGCTGGAGCTACATCCCAGAGGACTGTCCTCAGCAGAGGCTGAGCTCTCTTGTTCATCACTTGTTTTTAACTGTCTAGTCTCTTAGCTCTAAACGTCCCGTTCCCCAGTCGACCTCGGTGCACTCAGTGGCAGTCTCGTGTTCACCTCTCTATTCTTCCTTGTTTGGAGCGCAGCAGCCATTAGCCTTAATCCTGATGTCTCGAAAATCTTAAAGTAATATAGACACAGAATGATGAGCTATGGCAGCAAACGGAAGATATTTCTTTTTTTTTGTGTGTGTCATTTTTGGAGCAAGCTCAGTGGTTTTATTATTATCTGGCATAATGTTATTCACCTAAAAAAGTACCAGAATATGAAATGTTCATATTAGGACCCCTTAGAGTTCTCAGTTAGGAAAAAGTATATAAAAGAAAGCTACTTGTGTTGGCAGCAGGCAGGCTAAAGCACAGGCTGCCTTCAGCAAACTCCAGTGGGAACAGCTCTGAACGTTCCTGTAGGAAAACAATAGGACGAACAGGAATCTGCCATGATTTTGAACCAAAGCACTAGAGATTTACACTGGATGCACATTACTATCATGGCAAATTTATTTAAGATTCTTAACGAATCAGTGGGGTTAGGGCGAGAATAGGCATTGCTTTACCAAATGTTTCTTTCATGTGCCTTTTATTAGAATCTCTCATCACATGCTTCTATTTCTGCGTGGTTTCACTTCATCATAGTTCTCAAGGGGCTGCAATACACAGCCAATATTTAAAGCATTGTATGCTGATTATTTTGTCAGCAGCCGTCACAAACGCCTGCTCTTTTCTTTTTGCTAACCATGCATTTGTCCTTGTGAGCCCTTTTTTTTTTTTAATCTTCAGCCATGTCACACCATCCTCTCTGAGCACGACATTGGAATAACAGTTGGGATTTACACAACCCTGTAGTTGTAAAGATCAAATCAGATGCTGTTAATTCTTTGTGAGACTTAAATGTGCCTAATTACTATTACTAAGTGTCGCTTTGCATATTAACAACATGACCTATATTAGGCCTTTACACTAGGGCAAATGTCTGAAGTTCAATTAAAGTTTATGGTTTCAATATGGAAGTTGGGTTGATTTAACTGATCGTATATTCAGCTGTTCTATAATTCACATTGCCTCAAAGGCCTGTCTGTGTTATTATAAAGATGTCTACCAAGGAATTACTAAAGTGCACTTATAAGTAGAGTTCGCTTCTGCTTTGTCGTGTGTGTGTGTGTGTAAAAGGGACATCATTGCAGCCAGAAGTCAGAAGGAGTGAAAGTTGTGGTGGAGATGTAATAATGCTATCAAAACGTGCTCTATCATGTTGTTTGTTTAGCCTTCCAACCTGTTTTTCTTCATGTGATCAGAGCCGCTGATTCACCGTTCAGTTCAAACCGAGGTGTGTCTCTGTCTGGTACCATAAAGGACAATATTACCATTCAGTTCAAAGAAGGAAAAAGAGGTAATTGCTTATTCACAATGCGGCAAAGATGTGTTCACTGCTACATGTCACAACTGTTTATTCTCTGTACATTATGAACACGTGAATCAATATGTAAATCTGAATAAAGACTTGTTTTTGTATTTATTCCAAGGTGGTAAATGTGCTTTATGACATGTCGAAGGGATTCATATTGCAGACAGTTTATCTTAAAGGTCAGAGTCCAGTTTTATGATTTATGAGCGAGAACTTGTGTATCTGCTGCTGTGAAGAAAGACAAATGTCCAGTAAAAACAAAGTCCTCCTTGTAAAGTACATGTTACCTCTCGGGAAAAATGAGGTTAGAGCTCAGGTTTGATAAGAAATAAAGGTTTGGCGCTGACGTGTGCAAGCTGATGCATGTAACGACTGCACGAGAATATCGAGGTTTGTGCGCGGAGTGGAAAATACTGTTTTCGCGTGTGTGGTTTTAGATTTTTGTCAGAGCAGATGTCTGCCTGTTTCATGCACAACTCATTCAGTTGAACCAGAGCACTAACTGCTCTTTCAGTTTCAGTTGCTGTTCTCAGTTCTTACTCTACTTCCTGTTTGTCTCTGAGGCCTCGGTGGATGGCTCACTAGTTGCCTTGACAACTGCTAACCACATGCCGTTTAGTCATAGTAAGCAGTCTGTCTTTCGGTGTATATAGACTGTATATGTATACTATATTTTGCTCTCTTTCACAAGCTTGTATCAACATTCCCTCCTCCCTCCCCCCTTTAATCTTCTGGACCACTAACAGTAAGCGTCATCTCAAAAAGTCCCTACTTGACTTTCTATTCCCTCTAACACGAGTTCTTCAAATACTGGAGGAAACAAAAGTAATAGGGACTCTAAAAATGTCCTTAAATATTCTTCAGTGGACAATGTTGAAATGAATCGTCTCTTAGAGTTAATTTATCTTGATTGCATGCTCAGCAAAGTCAAAATCAAATCCCCTGCTCTCATTTAAAAAAAAAAAAACTTTTAACAAAAACTTGAAACATAAAAACAAAACATTTGAAGTCAAACTTATTCATACTTATAATTCAGTCATAGTTTGTATTTGGACACATTTTCTTCGAAGCATTCTACATTTATATAAGCTGTGAAGGTTTATATTGAGTCAAATAAGGAAGATAAACTATTCTGCAAACAGGTAAACAGTTCTGCACTGATATCTCACTTATGACATCTACTGTTGAAAAGGGAAACTGCAGCTTCTGATAAATGTAGGACAGAAGTTGTATTTTCAATGCTATGCTCATCGTTATGTTCACATATTGAAACAAATGTCGGTGGGCATATTTTTTAAATATTATAGTAGAGCCAGATAAGTATATGAAATCATTATAATTAAGCACAACAGCCATGTTTTCTCAACAGGAATATCATATATGAACACTGTTGTATTTACTGTTTGAAATGATTTTTTTTTCCAATAAAGAAATTGCTTTATTTAAAAAATGGTTCAGTTTTGTTTCAGCCTTTTTGTTTGTAATTTATTTATTTGAATTTCCTTATACACAATATTACAATACATTGGGCATTTAGACATGATATAAAGGCTGAAGAAGCTCAACCATATCATAACAATATACGCATCCTAACAAAATATAAGAAAATCAGCAAATTATATCATTGTCATGAAGCCCAAAACTTTCAAAAACCAAAACAAATATATCAGGAAGAAAAAAAAGACCTTCAGTCTTAACTTGGTGCTTTGAAAATGCTGCAGTCTGTCAATTACGACAAACACAATGCAAAGGTGAGAAATTCAAAGGTTTTTTTGTCTCATGCACAAGCAGAAGGGGAGTGAAATGCAGTGTTGCATGCTCCTAAGGCTGTGCTAAAAGACTTTAAAATGTGAATAATATACATAAACATGTCACAGTTGTACAGTTCAAGCATACAAAGTGCAGGGCAGAGCAAATCATTCACAGAAAACAATGTGCGTGAGGTTTCAAAACAGCAGTGAAAGAAGTACTCATATCTTTTATTTAATCGATGTGGCTTTTCCCCTTCAAAGAGCTCACACATACAGCTGATTGATTCTTTGGTCTTTCAAAGCCAGAAGCTCTAATGGTCTACACCTGTGTGCTCTCATTCTTCAGTTCGGTCACAGCAGCTTTTTGTGCCACCAGAGAGGATTTGACCTCCTGGATTGGGGCGAGCCTTGCCTTGCTCTGATGGGTCAGAGCTGCTGCCACATCAGTCTGCACACTCAAGCTCTCCTTTTTTTTATTCAGCCAGGTCTGAAGACATCTAGTGTGTCGTCCTGACGCTTCTTGATTTCCTAGCGACTTGCTCTTTGAGCTTGCAGAGTTGGACTGATCTTCTCCCAATGTAGCATGAAGATCAGAACTGATGACCTTCCTCTTTTGCAGAGGCTTGTGGAGAGCTGTGCAGTCCTCTGGTTTCTTATGCAACACCAGAACAGCAGCTGCAGATTTTTCTGAGCCAGATATTTGTCAAGAGTAGCTGTTTTCTCTAATTTCTCATTATTAGAGGGCAGCTTCCTCAAGAGTCATCCTGGGCGTGTTTTCCCTTCACAGCCGTCACAGAGCTGAGTACACATTTGAAATTGATACTGAATCAATATTCATTTAGGGCCTAAGAGTGTGCAACAACCAAACAACCCCGAACACAGCAAGCTCATATCACGTTTGATTAGCTGAGTGGCTAAAATAAAATGAGCCTGTTACTAGTTAATGTGTTACTACTGTAAACTTGTGCCTACTTTCCTACACAGCTCCTGCCACCACATAAAATACAGAATATCATTATCATTCCCTTAGTTATTGGAAATAGACCTATTCTTGCCTCCAGCTTTAAGACACACTGTGACTTAGCTCTTTAGCTCTTAATGCTCCACTGTGTTCAGCAGCTAGCCAGCTCCTATTAGAGCCTTTTGTTGTTGACAGGACCATTCATTTTATAAAGATAGATGACATAACAGCTCCATAAAAGTGAAGCCAAAACATCATGGTCGCCCCCTGGTGGCTGGTTGCAGTATAGGTTATAATCCCCCCTGTTCCTCAACAATGCCACTCCGACCCTGATCACCTCTTTGCTGAGTATACACAAATGATAGTACCAGCACAAGAAGGCAGCGGCCGTACCCGGGATATTTTGGCTTTATTTTTGTACAATAGGAAGGAAGGGAGACGTGTCGTCCATCTTTAAAGTAAAAGGACCAAAACAGTAAAGTTTCAGGTAGATAATTGACTCCTTTCACATACCGGGAGTCATGTGATCCATTGAAAATATGGCTTATAGCAGCTTATCCTGCCTATTGGAACTGAAAAACCCGTTCCAGCATGCTGTATTGCCAAAATGTGCAAATGTGAACACGTCTGCAGAACTGGACATTTCGCTGCAGTTTCATTTGGCCCCCAGACTTTAAGCTTAGCAGTAGAAGGTATACTATTCCTTTTACAACATGCTGGGCCACCAAAACTCTCCGCTGAATATCAACAAAAGCCTCAGTAAGTCCTACATGACAAATCAAAAAATGTCTCTAAGCTTGCAGGAATAACATGCACTCATATTGTGTTTTATTTATTCTTGAGAATGCAGATATGAAGACAGAAAAGCTAAAGCCTTCTGGGAGATTTGATCGCAGGCCTGCAGGGGAATGCAAGCTTTCAGAGGAAGGAGCAGCAACAACAATACACAAGAGACAAGGAAATCATACTGCTACAGTATGCTGCCACTCCTCTGTTCTCACTTCTTTCCCCTCTTCCTCCCCTTCTACATTTCTTTCTATCATTCTCATAGGAATAACTTAAGTGACGTTACAGTAGGTCCTGTGTTACTGCTCAGTGGAGGATATATGTGCATACATACATACACATACAACATGCTGAGATGTTTTCACTTGACCTCTTATAACAGCATCTATATGAGTCTGTTTGTGACTCTATGCTTGGCTAAATGTGTGTATATGTGTGTTTTAAAGCACTGGTTCACAACTAGGGGTCTCAAAGCTTCATGGGGGGTCGTGAGGCTTTCTTGATTTTAACGGGTGTAAAAAAAACCTTTAAAAGAAGAAGAAGAATTATTTTTATAGTTTAGATTATTGATTAAGATATACATTTATCACAGGATAAGGGTATCAGCAAGCTATATTCAGAGCTTTCACTCTCTGCTAAACAGCCTTGTCCTCCACAGTAGGTACACAGTTTAAACAACTAAAGAGCTAATTGATTTTAATTGAATATTAAGTTTGAATGATTGTTAAAATAATAGGGACTGTAAAGTCCCGAAAATTATAAGGAAAACTCATCTCTGAAGCAACATTCACAGGAAATTATCTTCTCAAAATTCATCCAAACCCTTATTTTACTTAAACTTCCAGCAGTTATTGAGTTCACTATGTATCAGTTGTTCTGTACTGCCATGGTTATGCATTGAATATAATATGAAAATAATCAATAAAAGTTGTTCATATGCTAGGATATTGCACTAAAGGAAGCAGGAGAAGACGTTAGGAAAGAGTGGAAGGAATACGAGGTTAGAGACGGTTAGGAGGGGAATGTAATAGGAGAGGTGACTTGAGGTCGGATGAGTAGAGTCGGGGACAGAAATGTAATCATTTCTTCAATCTACCTCACACTCCGAGATTTGTCATGGCTCAGCCACAGATAGGGGCGCAGCACGAGGAGTCTTCCATATCTGATAAATATGCTGAGATAAAAAAGATCTACTGTATGTGTCACCATACTTTGAATGCATTTTTTTTTTACAGTGTTTGCAGGAGAGCAGTCAAATTCCACCCAGTATGGGCTGGTTTCCCCGTTTGTTCTATAAAGTGGTAAATGCAGAGGTACAGATGTATATAGACACGCAAGAGGGGATTCAGGAGTCAAGTAATGTCTTTTATACTTCTACATTTTTCCACAGGGCTGTATGAGTCTCCTGCACATAATAAATAACACCAAGTTCCTCTCTGAATTACAGGTAGAATGTGTTCAGTGCTGCTCTGATGTGATGCTGTAATAATGGAAAAAAACCTATTATGGTTTTGGAATTCTTGCAGAAAAATAGCTTTGTAGACATTTCAGAACTAAGTGGTGCAAAACCTTTCAGTTTTATGTCCAGCGGGGGCCTGGTGTGTACCTCTTTC